CTCATTAACAGAAATATTTATTGTACAGGATGGAATATGTGTTTATTACCATCTGCAGCAGGTGATCAAGAAAAGGCAGAGAGCTACACTCTGCTTCATCGCCTGAGCTCAGACTTTCAATAAACACATATTCCATCCTGTACAATAAATATTTCTGTTAATGAGGCATTGATCTTCGAGAATAAATATTAATAATGTACAGTATTCTCCTATGAACGTTAAACGCTGACCATCATTCTGATGGAGAAGAAGGTTCTGAAAGCTCGGGGGGTACGGATGTCGGTCTGTGTTTTGTCGTACGGTATAAGTTATGATAATAAATCAATTGTTTGTGGTGGTGATGAGCGATACCTGGTATTTCTGAGGTCCGACAGCCGCCATCCAGATCCCCATGCTCACGTCCTCTCCCTGCAACGAGACGAGCGGCGCCTTTTATTTTTACGATCAGGGTTTACCCGTCGGGGCGGTCCGGTGATTACCTGATAGGGCTTCAGGTTCTCTGCGTTCCTGGCGAGCCATCGGACCAGATCGCGCGAGACCACGTAGCCCGAGCCGCAGGCGAACGCCGGGTAGGCCGGGCTGGCGTACTCCAGCTCCTGCCACTTCCCGATCCGATCCACGGCCCAGCTCTGCCTGAAACTGGGTCAGGACAGCAGACGGGGTCACAGCCGAACCTTCAGCGCCTCGTGAGCGAGTCGCGCTCCTTTAAACGGACTTTAACGCATCTCGAAGTGCACGGAAACAGAACAACTTACTTCCCCCACCAGAAGTTCCTGCGCTCGAGACCTTTGCGGTCAATTTTCATGAAAACGGAGTCCACGTCGATGTAACAATCGTCGTCCGCCTTCAGCAGCAGGTTGAAGTCGGCGTTTTCCACAGACCTGCAGGAGAGTTCACAACTTTAAAAACATGAAACGTGTTTTGAGTCACAGCTTCACAAGAACGTTTACCTTAAAAAGGTTTAAAGCACGAACGACAAAAACATTTAGTATTAAATTAATATTTTCCAGTTTGACACCTAAAGAGATTCAAACTGTATTATTGGACAGAAAAGCCTGACTTGATTATTTAAATTTAGCTAATTATGAGGTAAATATATAGCCTAAACTATAAATATATTTGTTTTATGGGTATAATTATGCACATATTTAAACATGGATATATTTTTCTAACACCTGTTGAAGGATTGTAAAATATTTTTAATAAGAGGACCGAAGTTTGTAAATATTTTTACTTCGCTTAAACCCTGACGTACTATTATTGAAACGTTAATATTTAGTGCATGCCATTGGAAAAACATACAATTTATATTTAAAATATAATAATAAATAAATATAATTTAAAATAATAATAAAGCAAAAGTAAATACTGTTAAATCCAACTAGAGAAAATGCATCTTCTGTATCTGTTAAAGTTAAAACAAACTAATTTTAAAGAGTAAAATGCTAGCTTAAAAGTAAATGCAAACACTGAGCTAAAGGTAGCTAACTGTAGCAAAAGGCTAATGTATCAAATACATAGCTAGATGCTAAAAATACTAAAAGACTAGCTAAAAGTATCAAAATGCTAGCTGAAAGTAACTTGAAAAATAAAAGAGGCTATCGAAAAGTGAAAAAAGCTAAATGCTAACTAAAAATCAAAAGTAACATAAAACTAGTTAAAGGCAAAAAAATCAACTGGCTAGGTTCAGTTAAAAGGTAGCTTTAAGTAAGTAGCTACAAATGTCAAAAGTCTAGCTAAAAGTAGCAAAACACTAGTAAAACAAATGAAATGCTAGCAAAACTTAAAAGATAGCAAAACATTATCTAAAATTAACAAAAAGCCAACTGAATGCTAGCATAATTTTACAAGCAAGTAAAACACTAGCTAAAACTAGTGTCAAACTAGCTAAAAGTAGTGTACGGCTAGCTAAATGTAGCAAAAGGCTAGCAGAGAACTAGCTAAAAGTACCAAAAAGACAGCAGAACACATTAAAATATACAAAAAGCTAACTGAACACTAGCATAAATTTATAAAAGTCTGGGAGAACTCTAGCTAAAAGTATCAAAAGGATAAGAAAAAAAAGTAGCGGGCTACCTATAAGCTAAATGTATTAACTATTAGCTTAAAGCTAACAGTAGCAGACTAGTAGCTCTAAGCTAAAAGTAGCATAAGGCATAAGACAAATACAGCAGAACAGATCTCATGGTTATGAAGGGGTTAAAGTGATCTGGACGTATTTCTTGGGAAAATGTTGCAAATGAAGTAAAATGAACAAAAATATAAAAGTTACAAAAAACAAAAGTCAAAACAAACATCTACTTAATGAGCTGAACATATTTATGTAAAAATGGCTAAAATAACACCAAACGTGCATAAACAGAGAAAAGTTACTGGAAAACAAACATCACGAAATGTTTAAACCATGAGATTAATTAAAGATCATCTATAAACAGTTATAAACATTTATAAATGTTTATAAACAGTTATAAACATTTATAAATGTTTATAACTGTTTATAACTGATAGACTATAACTATTTCCTGTCCAGAACCACAGAG